ACAATCATTTGATAAACATATCATGACGTCATTTATTTACCAGAATTAAATAAACTGGCCTAAACTATATCCTAAATTAACCCTAACCTAACCCTAACCTAACCCTAACTTAGGCCGAATGATGGTCATGTGATATTGTGATGATCACTGGGTTAACTCTTCTTAAATCTTCCCAAGATATGAGCCTATCAATCCGGCAAAAACAAATTCACTTTTGGTGGACAGAACTTGGTCAAAGGAGGTATAAGCGTGACGATGATGCATTCGAATTGGCAATAAAATGGCTTAATAAAACCAATATAAAATTATCCTTGAAACACATCTAGTCTGTGCATTGGCCTTTATGACAGGATTATATGAGCACCTAAAAGAAATGAATGCTAATATTAATGAGTGTGGCATTGATACGACATGTAAGTTATAAATTTATATATTAAAAAAAAATGCAAAAGCTTAAATTATTTAATATACAATATAATATTTAGATAATACAAATAGCTTCAAAATGGAGTTATATAGTTTTCAGACTGAAATAAATGGTACTGGATTTCCATTAGCTTATTTGTTCCTAAAAAATAATGGAAATTGCAGATCAGGAATACGTACTACTATGATTCAAGGATTTTTCTCAAAATTACATGAGGAAGGAATAAACCCAAGCTTTTTACTTACAGATAAGGATTTCACTTAAATTTCTGCTGCCTGTTTCGTTTGGCCAGAAATCAAAGTTTAACTATATAGATGGCATATAAAACGAGCTGTAATGGCACGACTTGCAAGTGACAAAACTTCAAGAAATACTAGCTTTAATCTGTTGTCACAACACGTCGCTCGATTCCCATTTGAAGATATTGAACAATCGCCAAAGTTTTGCCCTAAAGAAAACAGAGAAACTGCGTGGAAAATGATTGAAAAACACTTTCACCAGCACCCCTTAATCCCCACATACGATGGTCAATTTCTTACCAAAGAAATAATTCATGAAAATGCTGTTCATGAAATGTATAATTTTTGTAAAGCCCATTCCTGGTGTCACTTTGGTGTTATTTATGGGGCGAATGGTATGACAATCAAAAGTGGGAATTGTGGGCTCGGTTCTCCTGTGAAGATAAAATGTCAATTTTTAAAACTACAATGTTTGTAGAAGGATATTGGAAAGTTATAAAAAGAGACCTTCTTTACAAATTTTTCTGGCCTTGTCTTGATTTAGTAATCTACATCTTGATGACAAGAGTAATAGTTCAACAGCTACGAAAAATTCTACAACTTAAAGCCAGAAGAGAAAAACCTGAGTAGGTAAAGAAATTTAAATCAGAGTGGAGGGTGTTATCAACTCGTGAAATCAATAGAGTATATGTAACAGATTTGGATCGATGGGTATGCGGCTGCCCATATTATTTAACAAGCAGATTTTATATTTGCAAGCACCTAGTACAGCAAAAGGGAGAGGTTAATAGCGAATTTTTTAATCATGTTAGAAGAAACATTTATAACTGAGCACGAACAGTTTCTTGTTGAGGAGCAAATTAATACTACACATGAAGAATTTGAAAATGTTCAGGATATAATTGAGTTAGATAATGAAAATAATGATATTTACAATGAGTTGATAACTTTAACGACCAAAACACTTACACTTCTTGAAGAACAAAAAGAGGCTGAAAATATCCAATGGGCAAGAGGCATGAAACGAAACTTCACTCCCATTCATAAAATGATAAACAAAATTGAAACTTATCGTGGAAAAAGAAAAATGCCCTTAACTTGGAAAGAGCACACAAATAATACACGATTCCTAAATTAAGATAAATACGATAAGTTCTTAATATACAGTACATGAATGGAACCTTTTTTAAAATATACAGTAGTTACTTACTTACTCTATAGCTTCGATTTCTTTTTTTTTTTAATTTATATTATCGCTCTTCTATTTCAATGCTCAAAATATTTAAAAAAAAAATTTGTATTAATAAATTATTCCGCTTTAAAAAATTAATCTTTAAATAATTTTATATTATATACTTACTTTCTATAAGTCGGCCTTGAATAAACCGAATGATCAATAGATTCTAAAAGTATTAAAAGTATTAAGAGTATAAAAATATTAATATAGGAAATATATTATCAATATAGTTGAAACTACTTAAAACTCTCCAAAATGAAGAAATTGTTCGATATATCCAGATATCAGTCAAACAAGGCATTTTCATATTAAGTATGTGGCTTTAAATTTTTAAAAAATGCCGCTATAGCTAGATATCATTGTATCTAGACATCGATATAACAAGAACGATATATAGAGTAATATAAATATATAGAATAATATAAATATACAGAATTACAAAAAAAAAAAGTTTCTTTGCTCTAAAAAAAGCCAAAGCACTAATGTTTCCTTACTAGCACGGTTTGCTGCATTTTTACTAAGAACTGACAAGTACAATCTTGTAGGTTCTTGATCGGTTATTGTTATATGAAAGAATAACAATAACGATATAATGCAGTAATGATTAATAATACAGACCTGTAATGATCTGATTGGTCATTATTAGGGATCTATGGCACGTGATAGTAAAATTTTTATGGCGATACTGGGGAAGATAAAATGGAATAAATGGAATAATTGATGGTTTTGTGATAAAAAATTCGTCATTTAATAATGGAAGTATTTACTGTCCCTGTGCTGGGGAAGATTTTTATTTTTATAATATCACGTGACTGTTCTTTGTTCTGTCCAAGGCGATAAGTCACGTGTTGCTGTGTCAGTAGTTTTCCCTTTAAAAATTGATCTACCATGTCCGATGAATACTGAAAAGTTTTTTGAAAATGCATAAATTAATTTATGTAGAGTAACACCTTTGATTATGGAGCTCGTTGATGTGCCAAATAGGTTTTTTTTCTTTTAAGTAACAAGCTTCGTTTAATCTCCTTTTCTAACTTTCTTTTCTATACGAGATATGTCAAAAGCCTTCAGAAATTTGCATTACCAACTAATAATAAATAAAGGCCTTCAATTGATTGAAAATAGAGCATAGGCGTGACATTTTGCATCAATGTTGGTTTTCCAGTGTGCTCGAGTATAGAGGCTAAGTTCGTTACTTAAATTCTTAAGAATATTCTCTATAATTCATGTACAGTGATACTATAATATTATAAATTTATAAGTTGCAAATTAATGAGCATTAACTTAAGATCTCGATTTTTTTTTTTTTTTTTTGCAGTTTTAAGGCTTAACCACTCAATAATAGTATGCATGGAAAATAGTGTAATCATACTGGTCCCATAGATGAAAAGAATTTATATACAGTTAGACCTCTCTAAGTGCACACCCTTGGGACCATACTTTTATAATGTGCATATAGAGAATAATAAGAAAAAGTGCATTTATGAAGGTCAAGCATATATTTGGGACAGCACTTGAGTGTGCATTTAGAGAGTGTGTGCACTTATAGAGGGTGCACTTAGAGAGATCTAACTGTAGTTAACAATCAACAGCAATATGCCCTATTATACATGCTTCCATTTCCTTTCTGCTATTCTAATCTAAACTACCGTATTTATCCGCCATGTGTACCCGGGGTATTTCCCTGGTTCGTTTTAGTACCCAGGGTACTCATGTAGGGAGGGTCTACCGTATAAATACTACTATGTTTTTAATATGTTTTACTATTATATGCCCGGGTATAAAAGTGTGATACCTCCATACTTATATACCCGGGTATAAATCAAAATTTTACCTTCAAAATCATTGCAGGGTATAGTACACGGGGGTACACATGGCGGATAAATACGGTAATCTTCGTATACACTCACGTGATTTAAAATTCTATTCGTATATAGAACTTGATCAGTGCTTTAACAGCTTTACGTTATTAACTTTATTATTAAAGTTGGTTTGAACTGATTAAGCAGCGTATCAATATGTGGCTTCATCTTCCCAGTTCTGCTCGAAGTAGTAAAAGTCTTACTGAATTTTATCATCTTCAGATCGTCTATGTGCTGAATTATAGTCTAGTATCTTGACAGTTTTGTATCGTGAAGAGCAATATAAAGTGTTTCTAAATCTTGTGATGCAATTATCTATATAGCATCTTGCATTGGTTTTATTTTATTTTATTTATTTAGACTCTCTCAATTTGAATGACACTGAAATTCTTCATGATAATCTCCAGCCAAGTTAAACAGTTCAGGTTGCTCTTGCGATTTAATAACGTACAGTACATAAAAGCATGACATATATGAGGTTCTTAATCAGAACTAAAATCGTTAAGTTTTAAGTGCACACCCTCTCTAAATGCACGCTCAAGTGCTGTCCCAAATATATGCTTGACCTCCATAAATGCACTTTTTCTTATTATTCTCTATATGCACATTATAAAGGTATGGTCCCAAGGGTGTGCACTTAGAGAGGTCTAACTGTATATGAAGTATTGATGTGCCGTTAGGTGATTCCGAATTGATCAGCTTAAGATTGCTTCGTTTTTACAGAGAGACCTCTCTAAATGCACTCTCTATAAATGCACTCTCTATATAAAATCTCTTTAAATGCACAGTATAGTCCGGGTCCAACTTAAAATAGCTCTATATATTTTGCTCTATATAAATGCACGTCCTCTCTAAGTGCACATTTTTGAAATTTTTTACTATGGTCCCGAGGGGGGTAGTTTCTAAAGTATTATAATTTCTTGCGAACTTTGCTTCTAGTAGAGATGGCTGCGGGTCTGTTCGTAGCGTGAGTCTTGCCGACCCTAAATTAGGTGGCTAATTTAGATCTACTTATCTGATTCATGTGCGCTCTCCGTATTCCCGATCAGGATTAAAGGTTGATCGGATCGTCCCTGGTATATCTCTGCATAGCCATCTTTTCGATCTGTTGTCTTACCGCGTAAGTCAACTTGAATAAAATTCTCTGATTAAGCTATGTTTTTATAATTAGATGATGTGTTCTTATCGTTATGAGGATTATTGTTTTACTAGCGAGTAATACTGTACTCACTTTCACTTTAATTTTTTGTAGTATCATTTGCATCGCCCTTTGAAGTTGCAATTTTCATAGTCTTTGAATCACCTCTAAAATCCCATTCTTGGCTTTTGATGCAATTGGCTTCTAGTGTTGTAGATAATCATCATCTATGGTGCGTTTTTTTGCTGTTCTCGGGCCTTCTTAACGTTTTTGGTGGGTTATTGTTGTTTTTTGAATATTTGTTAGTGTCGTAGCTTTAGTTCATTTATTTTATTTACATATCTATCTACATCACTTATGTCGCCACAATACCGTAAATCGCCGTATACAAGATCCCATGATAGTAGACCCACCACGTAGTATACCCGGATGCGTATCATGTAATCTATATTAATCAAACATGGTTTTTTTCAAATGTCTGGATTGTCTATTATAAATGCAAAACATGCATACTCTCCAAAGTTTTCCTCTTAGTGGCATGAACTCTCGGCTGCACACTAGACCCGGGTCTATTATAGGGCTTAAAATTGGTGGAATGTAAGAGACTCGGGTCTTGTATACGGCGATTTACGGTAGTTGGTAACAGATTTTTTTACAGCTAATATAATAAGATCAATATCAAACTAACATAACCCTATGTAGTTATAGAATTGGGAGAGCTGTTAATGAACTCCTGTAGCCTACAGTTAACAGATAATAGAGAGCGGGTTCAGAATAACAATCACGAGACAATAATCGCGGTGTTTATACAATATCAATGGCAATATAAAGATTAACATAAATAACAATATGCAGGGAGACTTCTAATCTACAGTATTATTCAGTGATAGGTCTTTCCGGCAAATACTTCCTCTATGTTAATTAGGCTCATATCGTTTTATTGGGAAGATTTGGGAATAATTTTATACATAGTGGTAAGTGAAGTGAGTCCTCTTTATCACGCATATATTCCGCTTCACTATCGTTACCCATCACACACTTCTCCCTCTATTTCCTTAATTGTCGCAACATTTATAATGGTTCCACTACAATCTATGCATAATCCTCCTCAAGCTACACAGGATTCACTACTATTTCCAGATTGGCTATTGTAGATCCACGTGAGTTCAATGAATGCATTCTCCCAACAACTTTCAACAGGACGTATTTGAACTAATCCCGGGACAGTAGACAAATAATGAAGACATATATAAAGAAAAATAAACGAAACAGAAGCTGATATAAAAAAATAAATAAGAAATAAATTATTTATGTCGTGACACCTATTTAAATCGCTTATGTCAACACTGTAATTAATATATAATATATAGTAAATATTACATACCTATTATAACACCCTTTAAACTACTCAAACACCTAGTTATAATGAATTTTCGATTACATAATCAAAAACTATTATTACTAGTTATATTTATAAAAAATATTTAATTATATTGAAATTTGATTTTTTTATTTAGTAACTTGTAATACATATAGGAACCATAATAACCGTTCTACTGTGTTTAAAAATTTTGTGATATCTCTATGCACACTAATTTCGAATACTTATTTACCATTTTGAAAGTAATTTAAATTTCTTATTTAAGACACTATATGATAATATTTTTTTAATTATATATTATTAAATGATAACACTTCTGTTTAATTTAAATATTTAAATGTCGAAAGTATTTAATCCACTATCTATAATTGAGACTTGATTAATATAAATAAAATTTAAAAAAAAAGAAAAATTTATAACAATTTTTTTCTTTACCTTGATAGTATGATTTAGAATAGTTAAGAAGTTTACTTCTGTCGAATGATCCAGAAAATGTTGACACATAAGTATTCTTAATACTTCTTTTTAATATCATTTCAGATTTAGATAACTCCATTAAAATCTTTTCATTATTTTGCCATTCTGTAAGGAGTTCATAAATTTCAACAGCTAATGGGCGATTTTTTGGTTCTCTCTCCCAACAATTTTTCATTAAATTTATATAACTCTGCGGCATACCTTCTACATTTTTTGGTCGTAAATCATTATGACATATTTGCATACGAAGTTGTGACTCGTCCTTTTGATCATTAAATGCTGGACAGCCATATAAAATCTCCCACATGATTATACCAAAAGAGTAAATATCAGACGCTGTAGTATACGGTTTTCCTTTTAATATTTCTGGTGCTATATATGGTAAACTTCCATAAATTCCATTAGATTCCATCTTTAATGCAATATTTGATGATATTGAAAGTCCTAAATCTGCAACATATGCACTATAGGAGTTATCTAACAAGATATTTCCACTATGTAAATCTCTATGAATAATATTATGAGAATGAATTATCTGCAGATCAGAAACAATACAAAGTAACAAATGTATTTTTGTTTCCCATCCTATTTGTGTTAAGTTATGAAGATTATTACGTAAAGAACCACTCTCTGCATATTTTAAAACGATTATATAATTTTCAGAAGCATCATCTTTCGATATTCCATAACATTTTAAAAACGAAGGATTATTGCAGCTAATATCACAATATAATTTTAGCTTTGATGTTAAAAAAAAAAAAATTATACACTTAAACAATTAATAAGCTGTAAATTTATTACCGTAAAAGCGCGAAATAACAAAAAATAATTACCTCTTTTATAAACTCTTTGTTATAATTATTTGATCCATGAATTAATTTAAGCGCAACATCTCTCCACGTATTCTGATTCTGGTCTAGCCATTTAGCATAATATACTGTTGCAAATCCACCTTGCCCTATCTTTTCAGTATTTTGAAATTCATTATAAGGGATCCACGAAATTTTGTTATCAATCAAAATTTTCTTAAGGTTTTCGTCAATATTAAAGTTTTGATTTTTCAATTTATTTAAGCCTATGAAAAGTTAAATTAATTGATTTAAAAAGTTAAATAAATAACAATTAAAGGGTTATAGGTTAGCTTCCCGAAATCAATTTTTTGAAATACCATTTCACGGAAGTCATAATACTGACATCCCATTTTACTAACAAACATAATTCCGAAAGTCTGTTTTACCAGAATATCATTTAATTGATAATAAATTTGACTGATAGATAATTTATCTGCAATTTCCATTTCACCGAACATTAAAAAGATGAATGTCTATTTTGCTGACATAACATTTTTCGAATGGTACATTTTTCTGACATTCTATTTCTTTGAAAATATATTACTGAAAGCTCTTTTACCGAATTTACAGCTATTTTTATAAATTTTGGGTCACCTGATAACTCGAAAAAGGTACAACATAATTTGCCCACAGCCATTTCACTGACAGCCATTTCACTGACAGCCATTTCACTGACAGTCATTTCACCGACAAAGTTAGCCTTGCTTATGTTGAGTTGGCCTGATTTATGTAGTTTTGTTCAATCGAGAAGACATCTTGTCGGGAAATTTATTTTTGAGAAATATTTTTTCGGGAAAGCATCTTTTCGGAGAAAGATCCTTTCGGGAAAATATATCAAAATATTTATCGGTGAAAAAGCTTCAGAAAAAGTTTTTGTCTGGGGAACAGGAGTTCGGTGAAAGGGTATTGTCGGTGAAAAGTCTGTTGAATAAAAATTTTCAAAAATACGGGTTGTCGGGGAATTTGTTGTGTTGGTAAAAAAAAAATTCGGTAAAAAATTTCTATCAGTAAAAATATACTTTCAGAAATATGCCTTGTCGGGAAAAAGGGATTTCGAATTATGGGGTCGTGGAAATGGTATTTCTGGAAGGTAGATTTCGGGAAAGTGAGAATCAACGCAATTAAAGTACCTGTGTGTCTATTTTTCCCTCTGATGATTGTTAAGATTGTTTAAAAGAATAAATATTTATAAATTATAAATGCGTAAAATTATAAAATAAAATATTTACATTTGATACCAATAATTGGCTTTCTGTAAGTCTCTTGAAGTTCCAATACCATTTCGATAACAGTATCCAACCTGAATGGATCCATCAAAATCTCCCATATCAGCAGATTTTTGATAATAGCCGAATGCTTTGTGATCATCCTTCTTAGTTCCGATGCCTTTTTGATAACAACATCCAACTAAGAATGCCCCATAAGAATCTCCCATGTCAGCAGCTTTTTTATAATATTCAAATGCCTTATAATCATCCTTTTCAACCCCGATACCATTTTGATAACAATAACCAAGATTATACGTTCCACCAGCATGCCCCATATTAGCCGATTTTTTATACCACTTAAAAGCCTTGTATTCATTCTTTTCAACTCCAATTCCATTTCTATAACAATAGCCAACTGAAGACATTCCATCAGAATAATCCATGTTGGCAGATTTTTGAAAATAATTGAATGCTTTATGTTCATCCTTTTCAACCCCAATCCCGTATAAATAACAATGACCAAGATTATATATCCCAGCAACATTACACATTCCAGCCGATTTTTTATAACAAACGAATGCTTTATGTTTATCTTTTTTAACTCCAATTCCCTTTTCATAACAATAACCAAGATTGCGTGTTCCTTCAGAATGTCCCATTTCATCAGATTTTTGATAATAATTGAATGCTTTATTTTCATCTTTATTAACCCCAATTCCGTTTTGATAGCAAATCCCAAGTATATTATTTCCCTCAGCATGTCCCATTTTGGCAGATTTCTGATAATTAATGAATGCTTTATTTTCGTCTTTCTCAATTCCAAATCCATTTAAATAACAAAATCCAAGCTTATATAATCCAATAACATTACCCATTTTGGCAGAAGTTTGATAATATTTGAATGCCTTACGTTCATTCTTTTCAACTCCAATTCCATTCTCATAACAATTTCCGAGATTATATGTTCCTTCAATATTTCCCTTTTCAGCAGATTTTTGATAATAAAAGAATGCTTTATGTTCATTTTTTATAACACCAATCCCGTTTTGATAGCAATAACCAACCTGAAAAATTCCATCCGAATTCCCTAACTCGGCAGCTTTTTGAAAATAAATGAATGCCTTATGTTCATCTTTCTCAACCCATTTACCAAAAAAATAACAAAATGCAAGAATGTTTAAAGCTACGGAATCGGTTTTATTTCTCGAGAGACAATTAATAACTTCCCTTGGTTTTTGCTTCTTTTCTTTTAAAAGCTCGTCCATTATATCAAGAATAAATATTGCATCTTTTTTTACTTTTTCTATTTCAAACAATTCACATAATTCTTTGCAAATGTTCATTAAGGATGTTCCTTTCAAGTTTATTCTTGAATCTCTTGACATCGTCTGCAAATAGTATGCTAGAAATGAAAATGTGCTGTAAATCAAATACGCAAGCCATACGTGGTGTAACATTTCGTCGTAGTTACACTGATAAAATCGTATTTGGTATTACAAAAAAAATACCCAATCAATTTAATAGCATGTATCTTTATTTTGATTAACGTATATTTATGTAGTTTCCTTTTCTAGGAAGGGCAAAGCAAGCGCTAATACATATGATTTTCCTAACTTTGAAAATTTATTTACATACGTACGCACGTACGTACGTACAAATATAATGGATATCGGTAGATACTGTACTTGTTGGACAAGGCACTCAACGTGGAACGCTGCTTTATAAGATAATGACACTTTCTTAATTATCGTTATGAATATTTGATGCTGCGCAAAAAAAATTGATTAAAAATTCATAACTCTGTTCATGTCAAAACAGAAATCTTTATATACATTTTTAATCTTTTTTAAACAATATAATTGGGGTAGAAGGGAACTACTTCAATAAGGCTAAATTAACAAACGGAGTTAACGGAGTTCTACGTATGTCTCCTGCGTGGCCGCAGTTCATGTGTCAGCTGCAAAGTACGTATTTTCATATTAAATTATAAATTTGGTATAAATTTTTGGTATATAAAATTTCTTATTTTGTCTTTCTTTCTTTCTTAATTCTATTCGCGCATAAATAAACCTATAACGCTCTAAAAATCCTTATTTGAACTATAAATTCTCGAAATAGCAGGCATGGCGTTCTTTTGAGTTACGGCCTATTAAGCTTAATTTAGGACAAAATTTGAAATTACACCCTTGGGTGCTATTTAGAAAATTCAGTAAGATCCTTGTGGATGTAATCCCTTAAATGCAATATCTGCAATATCTCTTTCTCTTTTTTTTCTCTCTTTGATTTTAACCTAGTGTAATAATAATAATGTAAATAATTGCCGTACAAATGATGGCTGCTGACATAAATAATTAAGTTCTATTTTTTTAAAAGTGTTTTACTATAAATATTCTTGTAAAAACTTATTCGGTATATAATGTATTGAGTTTGTATTAGAATTATCATAATTTCTACCGTGAATTACTGTATTCTGTTACAGAATTTGCTAATATTAAGGTTTAATTAGTTCGTTTTGAAATTATCATGATTTTCATCATTAATTGTTGTAAGCATCTTGTTATAAACTTACTCGTATTCTAGTGATCGCACCAAGTGGTCAAAGTCGATTGATTTCTACCATGGGTTATAGTAAAAATTTTGTCAAATTTACTCGCTAATGTAGTACATACAGTGTTTAAGGTTGAGTTAGCTTGTATTAAATTATTATGATTCATATTATTGAAAAATTTTATGCTGAACTTACTTGATATCCTGATAATATAATACGTAGTTAAATTGAATTAGTTCGCATCAGAATTGTCATGATTTCTATGTAATTAAGATCATGTTAGTTTGTATTAAACCTATTATAATCTCTGCTGTAAAAAAATCTATTACAAAACCTACTTTCTATTTTTACAACCAAAATACATGGTTAAAAATAAGGTAGTTTGTGTAAAATTGTACTTAAGATAGAATTAGTTTGCATTGGAACTATCATGATTTCTACTAGAAAGATT